TTCCCCGCCGCATGCGTGGCTTTAGTTTAAGCCACTGGGTCCAGGGCCTGAACTGTGGTCGACTACATGGGAGTCCAACGACGTAGCCATTATACCATCTGCTGGTCCCTGTTTTTCTTTTTGTAATTTGCTATAGGGCGTATATGCTTACGGGGACAGAGAGAGAGAGAGTGAGAAAGACCCCAGGGAGTGGGGGGTAGCAGTGCCATAATCCCTTCTCCATTCTCCTCCTAGGATTTTGGACATGCACGCACATGCACCCAGTAATTTTTTCAAGCCACCCTTCAATCACACAGTTGGCCATGTGGGAATCAGCGCCTTAATCACCACACCATCTGTGGTCCCCCCCACCCGCGCCATTGTCTTTTCTCCTTCCATGCCCCTATGGACCCAGCAGCCTGTCCTTCCTCTTGGTACTGAATGCCCTGCCACTGCCAAGTTTTCCAGTAGAGGGCACCCTCCAGCCTCTCCTGACGGAAGGCCTCTGGGCAACACTGAGAGGTAAGACTGGCATGTTCTGCCTGGCACACCAGGGAGAGGTCAGCCCTAGGTGACCAGCACCTCCAGACCTGGGGACAGGGGCAAGGGGGCTCCAGAGGCCAGATGCCCACCTGGTCACATCAGTGCAGCCCTCAGGGTGGAGCAACAGTGTCCTCCAGAGGCAAAAAAAAAAATCCCTCCACCCCATGTCTCCCTGGCCTTTCAGAGGGGGCCCGGTATCCTCCACATGAGGCTTGTTTTGATGCACATTCTTTGTGTTTTTCCAAAATTTTCCTGAAGCCACTCAGGATTGGAACCCAGCGATACAAGGACTACATCCTCTCCAGTGTAGTCGATATATGAGCAACAGGGCACCTTGACTCAGTTTGCGTGTTGATGCCAACACGTTCCCATGCAGCCTCCATCTGTGATTCCCACCTCAGCCCGTCGACGCCACCACCACCCCCAGCTAGGGCCACCTGCCTTCACCTGCTCTGCTGCCTGCTAAGGGCTGGACTAAAAAGCAGCAGATGGTGGTGGCACACACCTCGGCACCATCCCATCACCCAGCAGCTCCCAGGCAGCCCCCGTTCCTGCAGCTCTGCTGGGGAGGGACCTGCCCACAGGACAGGCAGGCTCTCCACCACAGGCCTCTTACCCCAGTGGTTTCTCAACATTTCCACAGGGTGGAAGCCTCTGATATGAGGGTAGGACCCTGACATTTGGCAGGGGGACAGATAAAGTAAGGCTCAGACTCCAGAGCCCAGGCCTACATTGAGTAGCGAGCAGCTCCCACCTACCCTGAACCCCTGGAGCAGAGGTCGACCCTGGGCCCAAGGCGCTTCATTTGCAAGCCCTGAAGCTGTCACACAGCAGTGACCCTGGCACACAGTCCAGTGGCTGCACTTCCAGCAACCACAGCAATCACTTGCTAGCTCCCTAGTCCCCTGGGGACCAGGCACACGGTGTCACAGCCGGAGCACAGAGCTGCCCCGGGAACAGAGCAGGAGCTGTCAGCAGCCTCCCAGGAACTCCTACACCAGCTCTTCTATTGTTGTTTAAGTTTATTTATTCCATGAGTGAGAGAGACGCAGAGGGAGAAAGAGAGTGGGAGACACCACTTCTAACAAGGTCTCGATGCCCTGATCCTCCCCCAGCCTCAGCCAGCCCAGACCGTGGGCACACACAGGCCTGGTGCACTTAGAGAGGTCGGATGCCAGCCCAGGACCTTCCCACGTGGGTCGGCCTCCCAGAGCGTCACTTTTTACCACTGTCTGACCCTCCCATGCCAGCTCTTTGTGGCACAGGCAGCTCTGCGTCCACTGCCCTGGGACTGGAAGCCGACTCCAGGCTGACTATTCAGAGGCATTCAGGACACGATCCTTCCACCGCTGGCTCGCGGTCTCAATTGTGTCCCGAAGCATCAGGGTCCAGTCGTCACCTCTCCGCATTGGGGTGCAGCGTGTCTCCTTGCACTCCAGGGCTTGGATGTCCACAGGCGTCTCCGGGGTCAGCCCAGCAGCCAGGACAGCTTCTGGGAACTTGGCTGCAGAGGCGGGCGCCAGGCAGCACCGCATAGCACTGTTGGGGGAGGGGACAGGTGGAAGCAGGAGGACCAGTGAGGGATAGATGGAGGTATGGGCAAAGAGGAGCCGGAGGAGGAGGAGGAAGACAGGGAAGGGGTAGGGTGGGGCCCGGAGGACAGAGAGCACCTACAGACGCTACCTTCAACCTCGTCTACGAGAGCGCTGCCTGGCAGTGCTGCTTCCAGTCGGAGGCCCAACTCAACCACCACCTCTCCCACTGGCTGTCCCTGGGCTACCTGCCACACTTCCCCTAGGAGCCCACGGTTCTGGGGCACAACTCCACACAGCACTCAGCATTCCCATCAAGGCCATTTGTCCACATTCCTCTCTCCCCTGCTTAAAAAGAAGAGCACCCCTGAAAATCAAAGAGAACCCAGAAAACCGCGCCCCCACGGGCTGTACCTGGGCTGCTTGTCCACCTGCTGGTAATGGTAGCTCGCGGCCACGGCCGAGTGAGGGCACAGCAAGTACCGATTCTCAGTCCAGCAGCGGCCCATGGTCTCAGTGATGGCCTTGTCTGACACGGACACAGACGCCACTGCCTCTGAAAGCTGAAGGGTCCCAGGGTCAGGAGGGCAGGAAGCAGGAAAAAGTGACTAAAACCCCATACGTCACACACAGCCAGACACGCCAAAGAAACGTTCAGATTCAGAAGAAAATCTATGAATTAAGCTGAGTTCTTCAACTTGGAGTAAGGATACGTTTGAGTTCTAAGTCCATACATTTAGTTGGGATTCAGCAAACTGGTGTCTAGTCTTGTTTGATAACCTGACACCTCACGGTTTTGGAGCATCCAGACCTTCCCAAGGCTTTGTTATTGCTGCCCCCTTTCTGTGGCTCAGGTAGCACCTCCTCCAGGTGGCCTCTCTGCTATGCTCAGACAGAACAGACTCTTCTCTGTGCTCCGCAGTGTGGTTGCTGATTTGCTCACTCTCTGAACATCTATTGCATGCTTACAATATACGAAATGCCCTGAAGACTCACTGCCACAGAGACCACGGAGGGTTTTATAAATGGTTTACATAGTTGCCTCCACCACTAGGGTTCAGAGCCAATGAATGCATGTTATCTGTCTTTGTCTTTCCAACACCTGGCCCAGGTCCTGGCTCGCAGAAGATACATAGCGTGAATGAAGAAATGAATGACTACAATTCTGGCAAATGACGTGTCTGGAGGGAACAAAGAAGCAGAGGACATGGTCTCTGACTTTAGGTAGCACCTAATTTACATCAGGAGAATAAAGGTGGCCATCAAAACAAATCCGTAACCAAACAAATCAATCATTCATTAAATCAAAAGAAGCGTAGATCTCAGAAAACAGCAGTTCTCACTCCAGTCTTCATGGATATTGCTTGGCCTAGAGAGCTGTCTCTGGCTTGGACAACAACCCTTTATTTTATTTATTTTTTTTAAAAAGAATGATTTTATCTAGCTTTATTTATTTACTTATTTTAATTTTACCAGAGAAGAAGAGAAAGAGAAGGAGAGTGAGACAGCAAGCTGCCAGGTTCAGGACTCAAACCATGGTTGGCCATGTGGGAGTCCAGAGCCATTAACCTCCACACCACCTGCCAGCCCCAAAGAAACAACCCTTTAAAATGGACATTGACCCTGCAGGTTATGTTGTGGGAGGGACAGCTAAAGGAGCTGGGAAGTCAGTAAACAGGGATTCTCTTCAAATGATGAGGAAAATGCTGAAGAAGAGTCAGGTGGCACAAGCTAGAAGGAGAGATTCTAGCTCAACGTAAAGGACTTTGTAGTAATTAGAGCTGGCATGAGGTAGTGAGGTCCTGGTCACTGGTGGCATGCACAGTTCACGTGACCACTTAGTGGGAACATAGTAGAGAAAATTAAAGGCGGCTTCAGAAGTCCTATTATTATTATATTATTATTTTACATAAAAAACATAACCATTGCCAAGTTGCTTTTAAAAAAAAGAAGAAGAAACAGGAGACTCTTACTACTCCAAGGAGACAAAATTTCTCCTTCTCCAGGAAGAAGGAAAGGGAAGAAAGAAGAGGGGAGGGGAGAGAAGGGGAACAAAAGGGAGGTGAGAGAGGAAGAAGAGTAAAAGAAAGGAAAAAAGAGTAAAGAAGAAAGAGAGAGGGAATGAGGAAAGAAAGAAAGTTAGGAGAAGGAAAGAAAAAGCAAGATGGGGACAAGGGTCTCTGTTCATACTGGATGTGGTTTATAGTCGTGACTATTCTTGAAAATTAACAATAATAAATTTTAAAATAGTTACTGTATCAAGCCCTATATTATCAGGCAGTATGCAAAGTGTTTCCTATGTAGTACTTGATTTAAACCTCAGAACAGCCCGATGAGGTAGGTAGGCATCCTTTATCCCCATTGAACAGATGTGAAAATTGAGGCACAGAGTTTCAGAACCTGGCTCATCTCCCGGCTGGCTCTGAACCACGCTCTCCACTGACTCTCCTCAGGCAATGAAGCATTCCATGCAAAGTGACAGAAAAGTGCCTGGCTCACAGCAGGTGTCCCCTTGACCAGACTTCTAACCCCCAAGTCTGTTGTCTGGTTGTACCCTCTCCTTTCTCTGTGATTATGGGTAGTGACTGACCGTGCTCTGTAGTTCCTCAGGCAAAGTCACACTTTGGGTCCTTTCAAACTGCTCCATGAGGGCTCTCGTCACTTGGCTGTTGGAGCCGGAGAGCAGCCAGAAGATCCTCTCCATGTTGTAAGGCACCTGGTAGAAAGGAAGAGTCCTAGGGACCATGCTGATCTCAGCCTTGTCCAGCCAATACCTGGACCCAGTCTGCATGTCCCCCACAGACCCACCTGAATGTCCATTGCTGATGCCAAGGTTGGCTTGACAGCTGCAGATAAAGAGAAGTCTCCCTGCTGGACAGTTCTGTGGATGATGTCATTGTGGTTCACTGCCACAACCAGGTGGAGGGGCAGCCCCATCTTTTGAGCAATGCACCCAGCTTAAGACAAGAGAGGAGGAGAACAAAGTTTTATGTTTTTGTTTGTTTGTTTGTTTGTTTGTTTGTTTTTAGGAACAAAAGCAAAAAAAAATTAATATAGCTTCATCAACATTAAAAAATGTTTTGCTTTTGGGACCAGCAGTAGCATAATGGCTATGGCACTGGACTCCCATGTACGCGAACACGGTGCGAGGCCCGGTGGTGGCTTAAACTCATGCGGGGTGCATGTGCGCGCATGCCCAAGATCCCAAGAGGAGAAAGGAGGGGAACCAGCAGTTAGCGTAATGGCTATGTTGCTGGACTCCCACGTAGTCGACTGCGGTTCGCATCCCGGACCCGGTGGCTTAAAACTCACGCCAGGCACATGTGCATGTGTGCCCAAGATCCCAAGAGGAGAATGGAGGAGAAGGGATTGCGGTGTGACCAACCCCCCTGGGGGGTGATTTCTCGCTTTCTGTCTCTATGTCTCTCTCTGTCTGTCTGGTGAGCGCACGCACCCTATAGCAAAAAAACCTCTCCAAAAAAAAAGAGGAGAAAGGAGAAGGGATTGCAGTGTGGCCATCCCTCCTGGGGGTGATTTCTCACTTTCTGTCTCTCTGTCTCTCTTGGTCTTTCTGTCAAGCACACGCGTCCTATAGCAAAAACCTCTCCAAAAAAAGAAGAAGGAAACTTTTTGCTTTTTGAAGTGGTGTTTCAATGAACACTATTGAAAAAAATAAAAAGACAACTCACAAAATGGGAAAAAAATTCATACATCATTTAACTGATGAGGAATTTGTATCCAGAATATATAAAGAACTCTAAAAGCTCAAGAATAAAATTGCAAATAACCTGAACCAGCAGTCCACCATGTGCTGAACTGTGGAGTTGGGAGCTGCATGGGAATTAAGGTTCAAGTCCCCAGCGTGGACAGCCTGAAAACATGCTGGGTCTGTGGACATATGTCTGCAATCTTGGAGGATGAAAGAAAGGGGGCTGCAACATGACCAACCCCTGTGGAGGATGCTGCTTCTGTCTCTTTTCTCTTGTGTATGTACATGCATACTATTATGGGAAAGACATTTTAACACACATAAAAAATTGAAAAAGCAGGCAAATGGAACCAGTTACGTCACTGGACTCCCACATAGTTGACTGTACTTTGAGTCCTGGACCCGGTGGCTTAAAATTCACACTGGGGATGTGTACGTGCATGCCTAAAATCCTGAGAGGAGAACGAAGGAGAAAGGCTCGCAGTATGGCCATCCACCCTGGGGTTGATTTCTCACTTTCTGTCTTTCTGTCTCTCCCTGTCTATCTGGCAAATGAATGTACCCTATAGCAAAAACCTCTCTCTAATTTTTTTTTTAATAAAAATAAAAAGTAGGTAAAGGATCCGAATAGACATTTGTCTCACAATGATATACAATACAAATAGTCACCGAGCACAAGAAGGTGCTCAAAATCATCAGACGTCAGGGAAATGCAAACCAAAGCCATGTGAGATATCACTTCACATCCACTGGGATGATAAGAATCAAAAAGACAGATGAAAAACGGCAGTGATTGAGGATGTGGTGCGATTGTAAAATGGTACAGCCACATTAGAAGACTGTCTGGCAAATTCCTCAGCTGTGGAATACGGAGTTACCATATGACCTGGCAATTCCACTCTAGTGGGAATAGAATTAAACACCCGGGAACCAGCGGTTAGCGTAATGGCTATGTCGCTGGACTCCCACGTAGTCGACCGCGGTTTGCATCCCGGACCTGGTGGCTTAAAACTCACGCCGGGCATGTGTGCGTGCATGCCCAAGATCCCGAGAGGAGAATGGAGGAGAAGGAACTGCGGCATGGCCATCACCCCTGGGGGGTGATTTCTTGCTTTCTGTCTCTATGTCCCTCTCTGTCTGTCTGGCGACTGCACGTGCCCTATAGCGAAAACCTCTCAAAAAAAAAAAGAAAAAAAAAGAATTAAACACCCAAGAGAAATGAAAACATAAGTCTATACAAGAATTTATATGCAAATGTTGGTAGCAGAACTAGTTCTAGAAGCCAAAAAGTTGAAACAATCAAAATGTCCATCAATTGATAAACTGATAAATACAATGTGGCATAACTATACAATGGAATGAAGTGTTGATATGCCCTACAAGATGGATAAGTCTTGAAAACCTTGTTGCTGAGTGAAAGAAGTCAAACACAGAAGGCCACAAATTGTATGATTCCATTTACGTAAAATGTGTAGAATAGAAAAATAGAAGCAAAATAGATTAGTGGTTGCCCGGTTGGTGAAAGGAGTGCTTTAGGGGAAACAGGAGCAATTGCTAAAAGATACAGGGTTTCGGGACCAGCAGGTGGCATGGTGGTTAAGGCACTGGACACTCCCACATGGCTGACCACGCACGGTTCAAGTCCCGGACTTGGTGGCTTACTTTCTCACTTTCTCTCTCTCTCTGTTTCTCTGTGTTTCTCTGGTCAACTTAAAATAAATGAATGAATGAATACGATTATAAATAAATAATTATTTTTAAAAAAAGATACAGGGTTCCTTTTTAGGGTGATGTAAATGTTCTGCAGTTGATTCTGGTGATGGTTGTACAGATGTGTGCATATACTAAAAACCTCTGAATCGTACACTTAAAATGTGTGCATGGTATGTGAATAATATAGCAGTGAAGCTGCTAACATTTTTTTTTAATAACAATAAAAGAAACAAAGTAAAAGGGCGAGTCACCGTGTCCCGGGGCTACAGACCTTTGTACTCAGGGCTGTAAAAGAACCTACTTGCCAACGAGACAAGGAAGGTGTAAAGAGATTGAAATGACAGTCCTAAACCTGGTCTTAGAGTCAGGATGTGAAATACAGCTCAGTTCTGCCCCGCTCAGCCTCCTAGAGAGAGCGATTTTAGACTTTGTTTCCCAAAGAGGTACCAAGAGAAGACAAGGCAGCACCCTCAACCCATCCTAAAAGCAGTTCCTGTGGGCCAGCCAGTGGCATGATGGTTGAGGCAGCTGGGTCCCACGTGGCTGACTGTGGTTCGGGTCTCAGACCCCGCAGCTTGGGAAATGCAAGACACACGTGCATGTGTGCCCAAAGTCCCAAAAGGAGAGAAAGATGGAGAAGGGACTACGGCATGACCATACCCCACGAGAGAGATGTTTTTTCTTTCTCTCTCCCCACCCCCATCTCTCCAGCAAAGACATGTGCTGTCTGGCAAAATCTTTTTTAAAATAGCTGTCTGTCTGGAACAAAGAATCTCTCACTATGGGAGATGGAAAACCCCCAAATGTGACATAGTTTTGAAAGGCTTTACGTAATTTCCGAGAGTAATTTACCTTTGGTAAGTGGCTAAGACAAGTTAGCCAGAACCACACATGGTGGCCTTCACCCGATAGGTAGTGAGGAAGCCGATCTATCCCTGCCTAACTGCCAGCCCCCTGTACTTTCATCTTCCATTATTGGAAGAAGTCGAGAAACTTCCTAACTATTAGGATGCTTTCCTGGTCTCACCAAAACCACCTCTGGCACCCATCAGAAGTAACGCCATTGATAGAATTTTTAGAAACCGAATTCCCCATTAGCTTCTGCAGCAATGCAGGCTCTGGAGCCAGAGTGCCTGAGTAGTGATCCTGGCTCTGCCCCTGACCCAGGGGCATGCTGACCAGCTTCTTTATCCCTCCTCTTCCCCACTACAAAATGGAAATGATAGTGCCGTCCTCCTCATAGGCTTTTGTGAAGCCTAGATGAGTTGATAGTCAAAAAGCACTCAGGACAGTGTCCAGTTCATGGGGAGTGCTGCGTAAGGGTTAATTATTAGAGAACATGATTAGTGCCACGCAGCTGCACAGCACCTGACCCTCACAAAGTCCACGAGCACACCAGAACCTCGTTTGCCCCTCGTTTGCCCCTCGTTTGCAGACCTGCGATGATAAGCAACCTGTTCTGCTTTCTGCAGCTGAGGGGCTGGGGCTAAGGGGCCACCCTACAGCACTTCACTGGTAAAAAGCAGACCTGGGGCCAGAACTCCAAGTCCAGAGCTCTTTTGGCCTCACTGGGCAGTGTGTCCAGAAGTGGGGACACATCGAGCCAGAGTACTGATCCTCGCAGCAGGCACCTGCCCAAGGCTGAGAGTAAAGTCTGTATTTCTGGTATCGGGCACTGCCAGCTAGGCATAACAGCTGACCCTTGAGCTTGTCTGTCCACTCTCTCCTGAGCAGGTGAGGAGAGAGGGTCAAAGCACACCAAGGTCAACTATCACTCTCCCTGGTAGCAACAGCCTGGGAGGTTTCCAAGGGAGTTGAGGGGCAGTCTGCCGAGCTTCTTCCATGTGGTTTTCATCACCTTCTCAACTTTCTCTTCTTCTTCTTCTTCTTCTTCTTCTTCTTCCTTCTTCCTTCTTCCTTCTTCCTTCTTCCTTCTTCCTTCTTCCTTCTTTCTTCTTTCTTCTTTCTTCTTCCTTCTTCTTCTTTCTTCTTCTTCTTCTTCTTCTTCTTCTTCTTCTTCTTCTTCTTCTTCTTTTAATTGGAGAAGATTTTGTTATAGGGTGTGTGCGCTCACCAGAAAGACAGAGAGAGACAGAGAGATAGAAAGCGAGAAATCCCCCCCCCCAGGGGGGATGGCCACACCGCAATCTCTTCTCCATTCTCCTCTCAGGATCTTGGCATGCACGCACACACACCTGGCGTGAGTTTAAGCCACTGGGTTCGGGACTCGAACCACGAACAACTACATGGGCGTCCAGCGACACAGCCATTACGCCAACTGCTCGTCCCTCAACTTTCTCTTCTTCACAGTTACCTCTAAGAGAGCTGGAAGGACCAGGGCTGCAGGCATTTTTCTGGAAAGCCCATTTGCACCCCAGGGTTCTCTTACCTGCGAGGTTACCAGCAGCCCCTGTGGGCACAACCACCTCCACAGCGGGCAGGGGTTGCATGTCCAAGGAGGGTGTGCACCGGAAGTAAGCGAAGAAGTGGTGGGCCATTTGCACAAGGACCCGGGACCAGTTGATGGAGTTCAGGCTCATCAGATTGTGCTTCTTGACAAAAGCCACATCAGCAAACACAGCCTTGATCGGCTCATCGAGCTCGTCACTGTTCCCCTCCGCTGTCGGGAGAAAGGATGGTCCAGCCGTCAGGAGCACAGAGCGCCACTAGGCAATCAGCCCCTGATTGTCAAGCCCTCCCAGGCTGATCCCCTCCTCCTGGGACCTCAGGAAACTGTTTTCTTTCTTCCTCTTTTTTTTTTTTTTTTTTTTTTTTTAGTTTTGCTATAGGGCATATGCACTCACTGGAGAGAGAGTGGGAAAGTAAGAAATCCTGGCTCTTGCCAGCCTCCACGCCAGGGAATGGCTACCTGCGATCCCTTCTCCTCCATTCTCCCTTCAGAATTTTGGGCATGCACACACATGTGCCAGTGTGTTTTTAAGCCACATGGTCCAGGATTCATGGTAGTTAAGGCTCTGGATGTGTGAGAGTCCAGAGTCTTAACCACCACGCCACCCACCTGCTGGTGCCCCGATCTGTTTTGTTTACTTCCACGTGGTAGAACCTAGCTTTCTAGATTAAGCACTCAGCTCCTCAAGGACAAAAATCATGCCATAAATTTTGGTGCTTCCAAATACCTTCCCTACCTTGAAAAAAAGAGAAAACATAGCCAGAGCCACTTGCAGTGTTTCTACCGTTATATCAATGAAGTATAAAATGTCAACCTTCTGAGATTGGTGAAAGTATTCCCCCTTCATTTACCATGCCCGCTTCCTCCACTCTTCTGCAAAGGAGGAGGAGCCTCACCTGATTATGAAATAGGGTGAGGCTGATCCCTGGCTCCACTGTCTCTATCAGAGGTGAGAGTGGGAGGAGTCACTATTCCCACGTGGCCTGCCCTTCTGCCCTCGTTTAGCTCACTCTGCCCTCTGCTCCTTCGTGGCAGGTAAGCCAGCGTGGGCAGAACTTCTCTGTGAAGCTGAGTGTGTACATCAGCTTAACATAATGGGTAAATCTACAGAGGAAACTGTCCACTACTCCACGTTATGCCCTCAATCTAGTCAACCAGCAATTGAGACAATGTCGATCGCTCTCTCTCTCTCTTTTTTTTTTTTTTTAAGGTTTTTGTCATAGGGTGCATGCAGTCACCAGAGAGACACAATGAGAGGAAAAGCCAGAAATCACCTCCCTGGGAGGATGGCCATGCCACAATCCCTTCTCCTCTTGGGATTTTGTGCACACAAGCACATGTGCCTGGTGTGATTTTTAAGCCACCAGGTCCAGGACTCAAACCATAGTTGACTATGTGGGAGTCCAGTGCTTTAACCACTACCTGCTGGCCCCCCAATGTTGATTTCTTATCTGATACCTGGGTCTATTTCTCCACTGGATCCATACCTGAAAGGCAGCAGGGTGGAATTCTGGGGGAAGTATCAGAGTATGCATGAAGGTCGTTGGCCATTCTCCCCCACCTGCACAGCAGTAACGAAACTGAGGCTGACTCTAGATCCTGAGCCAGTCCTGCTGGTCCATGCTACTGCCAGGACCAAGCCAG